GACCCCATTCTGATATTAAAAAAGTATTATCACATCTACTAACATTTATACAATTTATTGAGCCATTACTAGATCTCAGGTACTGAGCTAAAAGTCTTATGAACATTATTTCACTTATTCTTCACAATAATTCTATGAGATAAGTACTACTATTATCCCCTCCTTTACAGATGAGACTAAAGCTTAGAAAGTGGAGATATTTTCAGACTAAGACTCAATTTTCTCCCATCTCTGACCACCCTCATAATCCATATAGCTCTAATTTTGCTTCCTGGGGACTTTCAGAACAAGCCTGCTTCCTTTTCAAGAGAAATAAGAACTGCCATGGTCATTTTTGTGAAGGCATGGCACATGGAAAAAGCATGGATAAGTGGTTTAGGTGGGCTTGGGCTTTCATTGCTTGCTTCACTTCTGTGTGTTAATCTGGCTAAATCTCTTAACATCTCTAAAACCTACCGTCCATGTATGCAAAAAGAGGATGCTAAATCCTGCCTCACAGTTCTGCTTTGAGAATTAAATTAGAAACTTTATGTAAGGTGTTTTGAACACTGCATATTCATAACAGATATGCTCAATAATTCCAAGTTCATTTTTTGTCTGAGTTCCTTAAACACTTCTTACAGAATGATTTTCTTCCATTGTTTCCTTAAGAAGCCATTACATATTGACAACGTTTTTCCAATCTCTTGGCTGCAGTTCCTTTATCTTGGATGTCTTCCAATATATCATTGACCTTCTTAAAGTACAATTGCCAGAACAAAACAACAGAAAACTCTAGGCATAGTGGTATCTATCTACACTATAGTGGAACCATACTCACCTGTTTAATCTAGACAACTTATTCCTTTAAAAGTTGTGTCTTCTACTGCATTATTATACAGCCAGGATATTGGGTGAATATATCCTAACATACATTGGAAGCCCCAAGGGTTGAAGAAACTAACATCTCAATTCATATGAGCTTTTAATATTAACCAATATCTATTTATCAATAATGCTACCTGTAGGGAAATTTATATGAAGTCCAAATCCATGTGATAAGAGCTGCTTTGTTATGAAGCATGAGGACCACTCACATGATAGTCAGTGTTATTGGCAATCACTGGAATTGTACTATGAGGCAGCTCCATAAATTAGCATTGATCAAGTCAAAGATGGAAGGAAACAAAGCCCCTTGTGAGGGCTGCAAGAGGTCTCAAGGAGTTATTACCCTGTTAGATGAAAGGAAAGTAACACTCACAGAAATACTGATGCAGCTTTCAAACTTCTGGTAAGGGATCACCTCGAGTTCTCGTTAAGACCATTAATACTTGGGATCTACTCACAGAGAATATGGTTCACTAGTTCTGAGGATCATGAGCCCAGATAATCCAAATGAAGATCACTTACAGGCCACAGTTGAAAAATCAATGCCAAATCCAGTCAGTTTGGACACAAATCTAGCCCATCTCTTCACTAGGTGCTTAGCAGAGCAAAAAGCCACCAGTGGCCTTGAGAAGGCCCAGACAAAGGAAGGGGTGATATTTGCCAAGGGCTTGGATGGAGACTCTGTTAGTACTTATTGCTCTTGCCAGCTGGGCTCTGGACAAGTACTATATCATGCTGACCTTTTTGTGTAATGGGCAGAAAGTATCAAGTACAACTATGTTGTAACACAAATACAGAATCCATTTTCCCCCCTGAAGACCAAACCCATTACTCATCCACTGCCAACACTTCAGCACCATGGACAGCCCAAAGGCACACAGTGGATTGAGTGCTCTAAGAAAGGGTTGGCGGCAGTTTGGCAGCTTAAGCATCACAGGGAAAGGTACGAACGGTGAGAGTGGCCTTGGCCATGGTCCTTGGGTGGCCTTGTCTTGATGGATTCTCTCCCATTTGACAGGGGTTGCTCTCACCATGATAGGCCTCATTATGACAGCGTTGCTGTTTATAACTCAGCCAGTGGCCTCGGGTGGGGGCCTATATTTCTATTTGGCTGTATAAATATGTTTAAAAAAACCACTGATTTATATACATGCAATCTGCATTCTTTATGTATGCTATATCTGACTGCATTTACAAATATTAATGCCAAGTGACGGTAAGGGCTCAAGGAAACAGGTACCACTTTTCTTGCCTCTCTGCATAACATTCTCATATCGTGTTTTAAGAAATCAGAGTTAGAAACCCTACCAACTTCAATACATATGTCTTTTTTTGTTCTTTGTTAGATCATGTCCCATCCTCATGGAAAGCAGATTTTTTAGAAAGCATATAGTTGGGAAATAGCAAAATCAAAGGATTACCCAAGAAAATGGCAAAACTAGTGTGATGTCAGAATGAGGTGAGAGATAAGTCAGACAGAGAAAGTCAAATATTGTATGATAGCACTTTAATGTGAAATCTAAAAAAGACAACAAATGAGTGACAACAACAAAAAACAAATAGACTCACAGATACAGAGAGAAAAAAAACAAGCAACAGTGGTTACCAGAGGGGAAAAGAAAAGGGAGAAGGGCAAGATAATGGGAGGGGCTTAAGAGGTATGAAGTACTACATACAAAATAAATAAGACATAAGGATATACAGTATGACATAGGGAATATAGTCAATATTTTACAATAACTGTCAATGGAATGCTGTCTTTAAAAATTGTTAATCACTATGTTGTACACCTGAATCTTTTATAATATCGCACATCAACTATACATCAATAAAAATAATTTAAAAAATTTAAAGTAGAGGCTAGTTCACGATGGTGAAGTAGGAGCAATCACAGGATGCTTTAGTAGAAGTCAAGGTGTTCAAGGAAAGGAGGTGGAAGCTGCTATTTGGACAGAACGTACTGAACAAATTGGTGCTATGCTATAAACACTGTAACTTAAAAATCATGGATAAAATTGAGGTGCAATGGAATAAGGGTGACAAATATACAGTAAGACTCTCAAAAACATCTAATACATATCCAATCAGAAAAAGATTAAAAAAAATAATGGTACTCACACGGTGCTTAAGTCAGAAGGGTGGTTATCCAAGGGGGGGTGGTATTCACTGGGAGGGGGGCGTAAGGAAGCTGATCGCTCTAGTAATGTTTTATGTTTGATCTGGGTGAATTCATGTAAAAATTCATTAAGCTGCATACTTAATATGTCTCCTTTATTATATTTATGATAACTTTTAATACATTTAAAAATAATACTAATACTAATAAGGACCTACTGTGTAACACAGGGAACTTCACTCAACAGTCTGTAATAACCTATATGGGAAAAGAATCTGAAAAAGAATGGTGTGAGTGTGTATAATCCAGTTTGCTGTATACTTGAAGCTAACACACATTGTAAATCAACTAAACTCCAATAAAGAGCAATAATAAAAAAGATGTGGTACATGCACACAACGGGATAATACTCAGTCATAACAAAAGAAGGAAATAAGGCCATTTGTATCAAAATGAATGCAACCAGAGATACTCATCCTATGAAAATTAAGTCAGAAAGACAAATATCATTTGATATCACCTACACATGAAATCTAAAGTACAACACAAGTGAACTTATCTACAAAACACACACAGACTCATGGACACAGAGAACAGACTGTGGTTGCCGAAGGGGAGGGGGAGGGGAAGCGAGGAGCTGGGAGGTGGGGTTAGCAGACGCAAACTGCTATATATAGAATGGACAAACAGCAAGGTCCTACTGTATGGCACAGAAGACTAAATAAAATACCCTGAGATAAGCCACATGGAAAAGAGTATAAAAATGTACATGCATATGTATTCTAAGCTGCTTCAGTCATGTATGACTCTTTGCAACCCTATGGACTGTAGCCTTCCAGGATCCTCTGTCCATGAGGATTCTCCAGGCAAGAATACTGGAGTGGGTTGCCATGCCCTCCTCCAGGGGATCTTACCACCCTAGAGGTCTCTTACCTCTCCTGCATTGACAGGCAGATTCTTTACCACTAGCGCCACCTGGGAAGCCCCATAAAAATATGTGTGTGCATGAGTGTATACATGATTTTATATATATATATATACACATATATGTATATATATATATATATGCACACACACATATATGTCTTTGCTGTACAGAAAAATTTAACACAACATTGTAAACCAACTATACTTCATTAAAAAAATATCTTCTCCCAAATGGAAGAGTACAGAGAAAAGTAATTCTTGTAATGTATAAAAAGGAAAAGTTCTAATATATGTGCTATAAATTGTAAAAAAATAATAACAATAACACCAAGTGTTTGGGGAAACACATCACATCCTGCTGGATGTATGGAAACTGGAACAATTTTCTGGAGGGCACTTTAGCAATAGATATCAAGCACCTTAATCAGTTTCCTGGACCATGCTTTGCGAATGACTATAGCAACTACTGTGTCTCATTAATTCAAATTAATTGGGTGAAGAGTAAATGGTAGGATATGATATGCTTGTAAAGTACATTTACAGGGAATGAGATATGAGTATAACACAAGACACTCAAGGAAGTTTCCACAAAGCTCATATGGTCTTCTTTGTCATATTTTTTAATTAGCAAGGACTATTTTTTTTGGAGGGGGTGGTATTTTTAGTTAGGAATAGCATACTCTGGAGATAGTGTAGGACAGGGAAGCCTGGCATGCTGTGGCCCATGGGGCTGGAAAGAGTCGGACGCGGCTGACTGACTGAACAATCACAACAACAGAAAGCACAAGCTTGATAAGAAGCAGTAGGTTCTCTGAAGTGCTCGACCTTTCTGCAGACTCACGTCTGAATTCTTTATTAACAAAGCTTATCCTTGCCCGTGGAATAAAAGCAGTCTTTAGTTGTATTAAATAGCCCAGGATTCTAAATGATGAAGACCTCTTTTAAGGTCTTTGGATGCTCTCTCTAGTTTTGGCAACATAATTCTGAGGTTGGGCATGTTCAAGGGGGGAATGTTCATGGGAAACGTTTGACCAGACAGGAGTGCCAGGTGCCCAGTAGGAGGGGGGCATCTCCGACGCTCGGCTCTTACCGTCTGCAATGAAGTGCTCGGGCACGTGCAGAGTCACCTTCACCGTGAGTGGACAGGACATCTGACTGCCACACACCATGGCCAGGACGCAGGAGCTCACGGCAATCAGCGTCAGGGCCGTCTTGTTCACGGGGCTTTTCAGCAAACCTAGCAACACAAACACACACAAGGATATGTAAGTCCACAAGGTGAGGGAACAGGAGGAGCCCAGGGCTTGGGAATCCTGCTGTTTTCCAAACGGGAAGCGGGAAAAAGAAACCACATTTCCCAGTCTCTGTGCTTGCAATGACATCTCATGGTCCTTTCTTGAGTCTTTTTTTTTTCTTTCAATTGTACATATTTTTTAATTGAATCTATTACAATACTTCTTTTTTTCCCTTTTTTTATGTTCTATTCTTTTGGCCACGAGGCATGTGAGATCTTAGCTCCCTGACAAGGGATTGAACCTGTACCCCTTGCATGGGAAGGCAAAACATTAACCACTGTACTGCCAGGGAAGCCCCCTTTTTGGGTCTTTAACCCACTGCTAAGCAGGCTTATTATCCCTTTTGGTATAAATGAAAAGAAACAAATTTCCTCAAAATTGTGGCAATTCTCACGCCTCCCCTCTCAATTAGACTCATCATTCTAATATTTGGGACTTCCCTAGTGGCACAGACAGTAAAGCATCTGCCTACAATGCGGGAGACCCGGGTTCAATCCCTGGGTTGGGAAGATCTCCTGGAGAAGGAAATGACAACCCATTCCAGTATTCTTGCCTGGAAAATCCCTTGGTTGGGGGGGCTTGTTGGCTACAGTCCATGGGGTCGCAAATATTTAGGTGATATTAAATTTTCTGCTCTCTTTAGAAGCAATTGAGAAGATGCTGTGTTGTTGATCACAGGGCCAACAGAAAGGAGCATGGACTTTGGAGTTTGACCATTATGAATTCAAACCTGGGCTTCAGTCCTCACTGGCTGTGGTTTCATTTTTAAACCTCAGTTTTCTTGTGTGAATGATGAGGATAATAATAAAAGTTCACAAGCGGTTGTGATGATCACGTGGCATGCTGTATATACAACGTCTGTCATCTAGAAGGGTTTTACATACTGTTTGAGGCGGATCAGTTCAAATTAATTTCCCAAGCGTTTACTGATGACCTACTATGTGAGACACACAGAACATCATAAGAATAGCTTTTGTTCTTCAAGAATTTACAGGCTAGGGGCAAAGGCAGGCTTGTACATGCGTGCTAAGCCACTTCAGTCGTGTCCAACTCTTTGTGACCCTATAGACTGTAGCCCACCAGGCTCCTCTGTCCATGGGATTCTCCAGGCAAGAATATTGGAGTGGGTTGCCATGCCTTCCTCCAGGGAGGAGGGAATCTTCCCAACACAGGGACTGAACCTGCATCTCTTATGTCTCCTGCACTGGCCAGTGGGTTCTTTACCACTAATGTTACCTAGGAAGCCCAAAGGCAAGCTTATCCACAGCTAATTAGAAACAAAGACTACTAGCTAAGAGCTATTAGAGAGGACATAGGATAGCAATGGGGGAGTGGTGGGAAGTTGTTTGAGAAAACTAAAGACAATTTCATGGATGCAGTAGAATGAGTAGATAGACTGGATCTCCATGGCAAGGAGGGCCAGCAAACAAATTCTGTGGACTATGTCCTGAGCCTACACTGGATCTCATTATTTAGGCTCTACTATTCATATTTAATTTCAAGGCTTTGATTACCATTTCTAAAGCAATATTTCCCAAATTTCTATTATCCTCTTACTCTTATCTGGAGCAAACCTTTATGCCCAAACTTCCCAGACATCTCTCTCCAAATATCCCACAAGTATGACAAAATGACATGTTCAAGATTGGACACTTACCTCCTCCTAAAAGCCCCCTTCTTTTCCTGGTCTCCCCAAAGTATTGAAAGCACCATCACTTAAACTGGCCAGAAGCCCAGATGTCATCTTTCAGTCTTCCGTCTTCCTCCTTCACACCATTTAAAGAGCATGCAGTCCTAGGTATTCCGTGCCCTTAGCATTTTCACCTCTTTACTCTGCATCTCTTCTATTGTTTGTCTGCTTGTGAGATGAAGGAGGTGTGGGCACATTTTCGCTCCCCACTCCCTGGTGGAAACCCTTGACCTGCTATATAGCATCTGGCCATAGGATGCGGTCCATGCTGACTAGCCTCCACTCATGCCTTCTACTACTCTCTCCTACCAGCTAGCCCAGGTGCTGGCAGGGCTGAATCACTGCAGTGATGCCACAGTGAGCACTTTCATCACGTGACTATTAGCACAGAGATTATTTCTAGAAGTTAAGCCCACTTGTTTCCTTGTCTCCCATCCCTCACTGAGATTAACTATAAATGTGAATTCCTCTCCCTCTAGAGAGACAGATTTGTCTACATTTGCTGGGTTTCTTAAAATATCTTATTCAAACACTAGAATCTAGTAACTGGATGGTAAACTCCTTGAGGGCAGGCACTGTCTTCTGCTCATCACTGCATCCTGATGCTGAGTGCAATGTCTGGAATATGGTAAGTCGATTAAAAACAGGTTTAGTCACTCAGTCATGTCCGACTCTTGTGACCCCACGGACTGTAGCCTTCCNTCAAACACTAGCATCTAGTAACTGGATGGTAAACTCCTTGAGGGCAGGCACTGTCTTCTGCTCATCACTGCGTCCTGATGCTGAGTGCAATGTCTGGAATATGGTAAGTCGATTAAAAACAGGTTTAGTCACTCAGTCATGTCCGACTCTTGTGACCCCACGGACTGTAGCCTGCCAGGTTCCTCTGCCCATGGGATTTTCCAAGGCAAGGACACTGGAATGGGTTGCCAGAATTTCCTTCTCCAGGGGATCTTCCCTGCCCAGCGATTGAACCTGGGTCTCCTGCATCACAGGCAGACTCTTATCCAAGAGTGGCTCTTTATGAGCCACCAGGGAAGCCCATAAATCTCAGCAGCATCTCAGTAAATGCATCATAACTTCCAGAAATGATGATAACAATATAGCAACCAGGCCCTGGCAGTGACCTATCAAAAAGCACAGCAACCATATACAATCAACACTGCCAGACAGATGGACCTAATGGATATATCCTGGACAGCCCACTTTGTGATTCCTGTACGAATATCTGTTTTTCTCAATAATCAGTGAGCTCCCTGAGGGAAGGGACCCCACCTTCATCATCTTTTTGTCTCTCCTGCCAAGTTCACTGCCTAGAACCTAGAAATTACTCCATTTAAAATAAGAGCTTTGACTTTATTGCCAGTCTTAGAATAAGGCATGCAGCTTCCGTGGTAGATCAGCTGGTAAAAAATCTGCCTGCAATGCAGGAGACCCCGATTCAACTCCTGGGTCTGGAAGGTCCCCTGGAGAAGGGATAGGCTACCCACTCTAGTATTCTTGGGCTTTCCTTGTGGCTCAGATGGTAAAGAATCCACCTGCAATGCAGGACACCTGGGTTCAATCCCTGGGTTGGGAAGATCCCCTGGAGGAGGGCATGGCAACCCACCCCAGTATTCTTGCCTGGAGAATCACCATGGACAGAGGAGCCTGGCAGGCTACAGTTCATGGGGTCATAAAGAGTCAGGCGCAGCTGGGCGACTAAGCACAGCTCACAGAACAAGGCATAGCCTGTGCCAGGGACAATCCATCTATCTGTGGCTGCTACAGCTGGTGAATACTAGTTAAACAGAAGAGTGGTTAAGGTAAAAAGATGATTCTGGTTTCTGGAGATGGAAAATACCTAAACTTAAAAATGGACCACATTAAAAAACACATTTTTTTTCCCCTCTCATCTGGGAGACACAAGAAGCTGTTTCAACTTCAATGTGATCAACTGCTTCATAACTAGACAGAAGAATCAAGTTAACATCAATGTTTTCTACCAGAAAGGGTGTGAACTCGGGCTTGGTGCCTTGTGTAGGTATTTTTCTTAAAAAGTCAACATATTACAACTAGCCTGGACAGTTAACAAGCCTCTCCCCATCCTGCCGCCAGATATGAGTTAGGAGCAGCACTGGGCTTCCACTCCAGGCTCCATAGAGGCTGTTTTGAGAGAAAGAACATGTGAAGGTGAGGCCGACATGAATAAACTCTTGGGGGGGTGAACCAGGTCCAGAGCATGAGCTATAAAAAGTGCCTAGAGGCACTTGGCACTGGGGAGGTGGACACCCTGGAAGGAAAACGGTGCCCTGTGGGTGTTCCAGAGGGCATCTCTCTGGCTGGTTGTTGCAGCAACAGAAATGGATGTAATCACGACATTCTGCTCACTAATTAGCCAGTTATGGATATACCACCCAGGCTCCAAGGGGCTGATTTCTGGTTGGGGGTAGAGAGTTGAGGAGCAGGAGAGGAACTGCTTGCATTAGCTCCCTGGGCCCACGCTGGGTCCTACATTTAAATCTTCACAGTAATCTAGGGTCTTTAAGAGTCAACGGGGGACTTCCCTGATGGTCCGGGGGTTAAGAATCTGACTGCCAATGCAGGGGACACAGGTTCAATCCCTGACCTGGGAAGATTCCACATGCCAAGGGGCAACCGAGCCCATGTACTACAACGACTGAGGCGGCGCTCTGGGGCCTGCGTGCAGCGACAGCTGAGCGCGTGTGCCCAGGGCCCGCGCTCGGCACAGAGGCTGCTGCATTGAGAAGCTCCTGCTCACTGCAGCTAGAGAGAGCCCACGTGCAGCAGTGAGGACCCAGCACAGCCAAAACCAAAAATAACTGTATTTTTTTTTTTTTTTTAAAGAGTCAAGGGGTGAGGAGTAAGAGTAAAGTGATATCAGCTTGTTGGTCGTTAGTTTTCTTATCTGGAGAAAAGGAATAAAATGACCTTTCCTTCAAGAGTGTTGTAAGACATGAGACAGCAAATGTCAGATGACCAGCACAGTTTCTGGCATAAGACAGACCCTTGGGAAAATGGTCATTTCCAAGCCAGACATTGGTATTTATCTCATAACTGATAGCAGAAACTAGGGCTTATTTATCTCTTTGTCTAACCCATTATCAGAACATACTAGGAACGGAATGATTCTGTACGGAAACTGAAGCCACGCAGAGTGGAGCGCGCAGGGCGAGTTTTAGCAGAAGGGGTGGAAGAGAGAAGGCAAACGAACAGCATCCTGGGGTAGCCATTTACTCAGAGAAAGCCTGA